AATTTAGCGTCCCCCATTTGCCCATGGGTGTACGCTGCTGATGTGAGTAAATGCAAAGACTATTTTTCCGCGCGCGCTTGTTTTTTCTGGTCACGTATGATTTGTTAAATAAAAGGGAACTCGTTAGCTACAATGTATCAATGTTATGTTAGAAAACAAATGGTAAACACCACAGCGTAAACTATTGAGTTATGGATGCATTTGGGAGGTTTGCTAAGCACTCAAGAAGCTAGAGTCGCTCTCGGCTATCGCCTCGAGCGACTCTTACGCTACTTTCGTGCTTAGTAACCTCCCGCGTGCATCCATAACTCAATAGTGTACGCTGTGGTGTTTACCATTTGTTAATTGCTGTTCATCGCCGCTACCTTGATAGGGCAAAATAGTTACAAGTTTGAAAATCTCGGAACTCAGTCTACACTGAATGGTGACCTCCCTCGTATAAGCTTGATAAGGGTTCGCGTATTTGACGTGAGACCGATTTCATGCCACAGCTTTGAACGTGTCATTAAAATAATATTGCAGGAGATTTCAATGAGAAATTATAATTAGCGAGACACGTGATGAAAGTATATTTCTATAGTCGCTCGGACCGTTTATTATGAAGTCTCGTCCTGCTGGTTACAATATCAGTTCATGACTCAGTAGTCCCTCGTTAGTCTTTGTAAGAATGAATTTGTTTCATTAGAAACTGATCCTCTGAATTACGGATACAGGGATCGACGTCGCCGAAGGAAACATCGGGGAATAAAGGGGCAAATCTGCTGCCTTCTGTGATGGGCTTGCATTAACCAATATACCTCCGTGTCCTCCACCCAACGTTGTTGCAGACAGAAATCTTGGACATAAACAGCGTGGACAGTGCGAGAAACCAGCGTGGCTGTCAGGTGGTGGTAATATAGACTGGTAAGAACTGCTCATTTCTGACTCAGTGTTGCCTGGGTGTTTATTCAGCTTATATACAAACCTCTGGCCGGGAACCTGTAAAAAAATATCGTAAAATGAAAGGCACGATGAATGGATTATACAACATGTTTACTGTCCAATGAACATAATCTGTCCCTGTTCAGCAATGTATTCTCAGACATTTAATTACTAATTGCAATCATAAAATGTACATTCAATAACACTGCACGTCCCAGGCCTCCATTAGATCCGAGGCTCTCAGTGTGCACACACAAACTGAATAAAGCTTCAAGACTTCGCGGACCCACATTTTTCTACATTATGAAAACAAAAACAAGCTCTAGTTTTCTTACGTTTTGTACACAACTTCAATCAGATGCGTTAATTTCTCATTGTAAGTTACTTTGGTTGTCGTAATTTTGGATCCCAAACTCTCGTTGACCTCCTTTTGCATATCGACATTTTTTTGTAGTTGTACTTTTCGTGGGACCTTCCATTGGTGCATACTCTCTCTCAACAACTTTGGTTACTGTAGTGGTTTGGACACAGTATTGGTCTCTGCACATTTGATAGACAGCTTTACAGTAAAGAGCTTTGGTTCCTTCTTGACTTTGGCCTTCTCTGTATTTAGGTTCAAGTGAAGAAGAGAAAGTAATGGGAAAGCATAATTTCTTGGTTCATTCTTTGCTGAGCTATTATTGAAGAATGTTGGCTGTTTTACTTTTGGTTTTCATCAATACTTTCTGCAGACTTTTTAGTCGTTGTGTTTTGCAAACAAATCTCTTTAGTGTAATTTGTGAAAGCATGCATGTTTGGTGGCTGTTATTTTTTAAGGGCAAATTTAATTACTGTTCATTTTGTTAAAAGAAAGCTTCCATGGTGAATCAAGTTGCGGTTAAAATGTGATAATATCCTGTATTATGAAGATTGGTTTGAAAATTTGGGAAAAAGGACCCGAAATGTATAAGAACTGCACAAAATATAAGCAATATCAATGCTTTGCTTCGTATGACGTTATTCTGTTGCCATCTTTAACATTAGACAGGAGCTCTCTCGTTTGCATGAGTCGCAAGGGATCATGCAGATTCAACATGTTCGATTTTTATTCTTGTACCAAGTACTTCATTCCCATTTATGACGAAAAGTTTTAACTTTCAAGATTACTCTTTATAAGTTAACGACGATTTGTTACACCAGCGAAAGGTTTGTATGCTATGGTTTAGTAAGTAACATTGCTTGCTGTGCATTTTGTAACGAGTGTAGTTGTGCTGTATTCCGTGAAGAACTTTGATTCTTGTATCTTCGGCAAACAGTTGGTAATAAGCACTTTTTCTGGGGCATTTTTCTTGCCTCTCTTTTTGTGGTCAAATTGATATGAACTTTGATTCCTGTAATTTGTGTAAATAGTTTGGTTGGGGGTACTTCTAGCAAGCTACTCTGGTCACTGCGTGTGACAGACCAAAGACAACAACCAAATTGTCTCCAATTATTAGAGCTTGGTTGCTCTAATGTTTGGAGACAATTTGGTTGTTGTCTTCAAAGAAGTAGTTTTGTTGCTGCAATTTTGATGGGTAACTCTACTTGCTGTGCTTTTTGTGAACAATTTTATGCTTTCCTATTTGGTGGTTGCCCTTTACGCAGATGAATTTGATTGAGTTACCTCTAGAGAACAATTCTGGTTGCTATTTATTTTACAAATAAGCTTCACACCAGCAGTTTCTGTTGACATGTATAATTGTTGTTCTCTTGTAAATATGCTTGATAGCTGCACTGTTTGCAAATATGTTTTCTCAGACAAGAGATTGCTTTACCTTTGAAAACACATGAAAACCTTTTGTAGCTGTAATGTCTGTAAGCCCATCTGGATGCTGTTTCTGCCGTTATTTTGGTAGATAACTTAGGTTGCTGTATTTCTTTGGAAGACTTTGTTTGCTACTCTTTTAATGGAAAGTTTTGAGCGCTCTACTATTGTAGGCTGCCATTGTGAAAAGGTTTGTTTTACGTTCTTTAATTGAACAGGCTTGGTTGCTGCACATTCTGTAAACAATGTTAGCCGGGCGCTTTACCTTCTATTGACTACTGAGTTTGGTTGCTTGAACATTTGTGAAAAATGTGCCTGTTGTTACTTTCAATCTAGTTTGTTTGCTATACTTTTTGTAAAGTGTAGTATATTCACTTCGTGTCTGTTTTTCTCTTCTTGGTAGCTGTAAACAGTGAGCTGGAGAGAGGCGATAACTCAGTGCATCCACCAGAATCGGGAAGTACTGTAAGAAGCTACCGTAATTTAGAAAGATTCAACTGAAAGATATCTTTCGAACTGTTTGCAACAACCTTGTTTACCAAATGCTTCTCGCTGCAATTTTTTGCTTGATTGCTATACACTGGAACAATTCGGAAATGTTTAATTGCTGCGCAAGAAGATTGTGGATTGATTTGCAACAATTTATTGTTTACCGTCGCAACAAATTCCTTCAGGAGTTATTTTCTGCAGTTCAGAGAGCATTCGTAGGTTATTCCTTAGTAAGTCTAGTGCTTAGGTTTGGTCCTTTGTTACTAATTATGGGCAGGTTATAGAGTGCCCTGTATTCGATTTAAGTTGTTAACAAATTATATATGTCTCCAGATCGGATCGGAGGTAACACCAGTATGCTTTATATTCTTATAAAATACGCCACTTTCAACCAAGCACAACATTTGTTAGACTACTTCACATCACTCGATTGGTCATCGCAACACAACACATGTCGAACAAAGTTATAAATATAGTTAGATTGTTTGGCGTAGAGTGCAGGACCTATAAACTATAAAGTTCACTTTTTAGCTGAGATAATTGGACCTGTTGGTAAAAGCAACGGCAGAACTGTGGCCCATGAAAGTGTGTAACCTGTTCACTTTTCTGTATTACATACTGTGACTAAACAACTTAGTGCTAGCATCTTGCCGTCAAAAAATCGCCGGCTTACAATATAGTGCAGTCGAAACAGTCAACAGGTTCGTATATTCCGCTACTTTTAGAGAAACTACAGGGTTAAATGAGATTTGAAGGTCATATAAATTTTTAAATTCTTGTTATAAGTGCAGTTGTTCTCCAGTGGAGGAGAGACTCTTCCTAAGTTATATCATTTCGACTCTTTATCTTTTGTAATGATCCATCGCTTCTGGTAACAGAGGCCTCCGAAAACTCCATGTTTATTTCAGGACTATAACCTGTTTTTGTCGCATTTGTCTAAGCCAAGAATATTTGAAACTTCCCACTATTTTTCGTCACGAAACTCTGCTCTGTGCTTTGTGGTTAAGCTCGTTCTTACAACCAAGCAGGGTTTGTGTCACTGATTTCAAAACTTTATTGTCAGTTGTTCACTGAAAAGATTCTCTAATGGATATAATCAAGACAAAATAGTGAAGAGGCCCCATTATTTTTATTTCTGTATCATGAAATGTACTTCCAGGTTTCGGAATTGATTACGCTTATCTAAAATATGGCACTAGGTGTCAAATTTGGTTGCCTTACTTTTGAAAGAGTCGAAGGGTTAGGTCACGGTTTTGGAGTTGATTCTTGTAACTTGCATGGAGAGCACCTCCAAGGTTTAAGAGTCAATTGTATACATGAGAAAGTCATAGCCAAGAGGTTTTGCAAATCTTTTGAGCTTACAAAGCATTAATAGTCATATGTGTTGATGGAAATGTCTCTTAGTTTTGTAAGAATAAGGGGCTTTATAAGTGACTCACCTTTTTTGTGATCATGTTCTGTTGGTAAGTATACCTCGAGTCTCGATTATTCTTCACGCAAGTAGTAATGTCTTTATTTGGTTTGGATGTCCTTTTTCTTTCCCATCCTTTCTCAGGATATCTCAGTTTAAATTCTCTCCGAACTTTTCTTCGCCTTGTGCTGGCTGCACGGCACCTTTTGGTTTTCAAATGCTGTTCCAGATGAGTCATATTCTTTTGGCCAAGTAGTGTAGCCTCTGAATATATTTTCTCTGTTTAAGGGATTAAGATAATTTGAACTGAACACTGAATCTGTATAACCCAGAAACAAATGTCATTTAAAACTTGTTACTAAAGTTAACCCAATCTACAAATAGTCTTACCGAGAGCTTGCGAAATTGCAAGAAATTTGGGGTCTAAATCTTAACGAAACTCGCTGGACAGGCGTCTATGCTTGTGGCGATGAAAATTAGAGAATACCATTGCCGCTAGAGTAAGCAATGTTGGGTCCAATGTGTTAGTCGTTGCATGCAAGGACTTTTATGTCATAAAAGAACTTAGATATTATAAGTCAAGCAGAACAGCAGAACTACCTGGTAGCAGGAAGTTGCAAATTAGCCTAAGTTTACGGAGACCTCATTAATTTATTTGTCAAAAACTGAATTTAGAGTTTCACTAGTAAAGCAAAGCCCTTTCGTTCGATTCAACCAGAAAAGCATATATTCAGTGAGTTAGCTGAATAAGACTTTGCACTAACAGAGTTAAACGCGTGAGACTAAATACAAGCTCACAGAATTATTCCTTCACTGATTACATCAGTAACGAACTCTCCATCGACTGAATTCTCTTCAAATACTTTCTTTGCCAACCAACAATACAACTCCACGTGCACCTCGGCAGGGCTTCAAGAGCTGTACAAATGCGGGTAAGATTTACGGCGGCCGAAGCACTATACTCCACTGCAACGAAGTGGGTATAGAGCCACGCGGTTCATCTTTAAGAAGACATAGATTTGGTTTATAAATGATACGTAATAATAAAAATTTTCACAGGATATTTACCACGTCGCAGCTTACTCGAGGCAGCCATAGAGTTTCCGCTCCACACAGTTCAACTGAACAGCTATAGTATTCCACAGAAAATTTAGTGATAACGCAATGTTTTGATACCAGCCGGTGATTTCCTTTCACACTCAAAAGACAAAGCACGGGAAGTGAAAAATGATATATATGCGATGAACTTTGTGGAGGCTGTCGACACACGATTGTCAACGCGGATCGAGATACCTCATGGGAAAACTCTTCTAAGGGTCCAAAATTGCAAAAGTGACTTATATTTCGTTAGCAAAGAAAATCACAGCTCACTTAGCTCTTGAAAACTATTATTTTCCATATATTGTTTTCTCTTTATCAAAATTGTAAAGAGTAAAAGCAACCACATGAACGTAAACCCCAATGTGCAAGGCACACAGACTGTATTTGGTTTTCCTCAAGAAAGATCGAGACGGAATACTTTGAGCATTAAATTTAAATTACCTCTATCATAATTTCATCAGCTCCTCCTGCAGAAACTGCTTTTAATGACTCGATGGTCTCCCCCAGACTGATAATATTAGGATGAGCTGTCGTAACTTGTTCCTGTCTTGTTCAACGGAAGTTCAAAACATTCTACGACGCAAAGTTTATTTGTTTGGATTGTAACCAGGGCCCCGCCGCTATATTATAACTGAGTAGATTTTCACGGGGAAAAAAAAAGAAGAAGAAGAAGAAGCGAGTGAAATTTGGTCCTTTACAGACATTTTTTTTTTTTAAAACCTAGGGTTAGTTAGAATCGAATTTCGAATGACCATAGAGTTAATGTAACGTTCAACCCTTCACTCCTTAGTTTTCATTACTAATTCTCCTTCCTCAAGCTGTTTGCTATAAAAATCTTTATTATGTTTCGTCAGAGAATTTGATATTATTATTGTTATTACTATTGATATTATTCTTTACTCTCATCACTTTTCTGCTATATATTGCATTAATATTGTAAGGAGAAATTGTAAGAGTTAGAGAGTTAAAGAAAAACAGTTTACACTAGAATTCTCTGGATAATCCTAACGCGTATGCTCAATTATGTTGCATTTGGAGATGCAGTGCAGAGAAAGCGTTTTTCAAAATGTTTCGGTAAAAAGTGTTCTATGAAGTTTGAAGTCACCAGTTATAGGAACGAAGGATTGATATAATTTTTTCTGGAATAGAATTTCGCAACAGATTTGAACTGTTTTACTCGTGCGCTCACCCACGTTCTTCTAAGGAAGTAGGAAGTTGAACCTTCGATGGAACGTTGCCAGTTGCCATTGATATTATCCTATGCATTTTACTTGAAGGGGATTTTCGCTCTATATGGAAAATTATTCGAAGATGCTTTTCGAGGATATAAGCAATGCTAAAAATATTTTAAATGTGACAGAAAGGCTTAAAATTGTCGGTTCATGATTTGTATCGTGTAGATTATTAGAAATGTCTTGGTGAAGTCGAACTTGAAATCCTAACATGAATGTTATTTAGGTAGACATAACAAAGTAGAAAGCAATTTGGAATGTTAAAAGTTCCACATTAAGATGAGTCGATTTTGGGGAAGTGGAGTATTATCATCGATGTATGAAAAAAGGAATCGACAAAAAGCTGGTTGCATGCTAAATATGATTCAAACGCACGCGAGAACAACGTACAATAAGCAAGGTTGATACATTGACGCGCAACAGGTACGATTGACTTGCAACTTACGCCAAACGTTTCGGATCGTAGGGCAGATATCATGGTGTAAAAACTCAAATTAGGGAATATAAAATGTGGGATTAGGACAATAAACCGTAAGCTAAATCTCCTAAATCTTCTCTGTACTATTTAGCAAGGAAAGGTTCAAGAACGTACGCACTTCTCCTAAAGAGTAGGGGAGGTGATGCTCGGTGCTGTGGACTCGGTTCTGCTTCCAAAATTGGAGGCACTTGCTGGGTTTCCTTGCAAAAAATTGTAAACTGCGTAATTCAGTCTAGTCAAAGCCTGTACGCTCGTACGTTATCCGGTCACGTAGTCCCAGACACTCACCGGAAATACAACTATAAATAACGACAGTGGTTTTACCCTGAAAATACTAAACAGATTTAGAAAGAAAGTTGAAAACAAAGAAAAAAAAAGAGAAACTCGCTCGTGCGTTGTCCGGTCACGTAGTCCCAGACACTCAACAGAAATACTACTATAAATAACGCCAGTGGTTTTACCCTTAGAATGCTTAAAATTGGACCAATAGATTCATCGCAAACATTTTTGTGAGACTCATATTACGCCACAGACGTTCATATTTCTCTCAAGAATCTATTTCAGCTCTCTGCTATTCTCTGGTAATAACAACTCTCGCAATAACATCCGACGAAAATTAATTTTAAACGCCAAGGAAATAATGTGCTCGCTCATCAGTATCCGAGTAAGTTAATAATGACGCATCGCCGGCTCCGCCTGACAGTTATTACCTGTGTAAAATAAGATAAATGAGATCGTAGGCTTGATATCATGAATGTATTTATGTGTACTAATAGAATCTTACACGTCGTTGGACAAATAAAACAATGGATCAATTCAGCCCGTAAACTGATAAATACTATGAGGTCATTTTCACAGAAAGGAAACACGTCTGTGAGGCTGTCTATGTCAATACAGCTTTAGCTAATTAAGAGGTATATTTGCATAACAATCTTTTTTTTGTGTGTGTGTGTGTGTGTGTGTGTGTGTGTTTTTTCTTCTGTCAGAGTGTTGTTTCAATTCATATCGTATTTTGACTGTAATTTATGCATATCCAAAGAATCGAAACGTTTCATTTTGTGCTAGACTTGACAGGAGACTAAAGACGTAAGCGTAATTGTCAGTAATGAAGTTGGGCTTCATTGAAGCGCGACTCATTTAGTTGTCAAGGGCAATTAACTCGAATCCCGTTAAGACGTTTTTCAGTTCAAGCCAGCGAGTGTTTTCGTTCAGTCCTGAAAAAAAAAGATTGCTTTGGAAAGTGTATTAGTGCCGGGCTTTTTGTAATCCCTACCGAGCGAATCCTCGTGTCTCAAACGTCTAATAGACCCATTTCAGATGTGACGTCATGACACGTGATCTCGCGAACTGGTGGACAACTTCAAGTTTGTTTACAAATGGCGTCACAAGGCACTACAAAGCGAGGGTTTTTACCCGGGTATTTCAGGGCTTGCAGTTGAAAGACGCTAAGGAAAGGTATTTAGAGCAGTTGAAAGATATTGACGGAGAAGATCCTTACAAAATTGCGCGAAACGAGTGGATAAATGATGTAGATAATATCAATCAAAATATAAGCGATATCGCAAAAGAATTCGATACGATATACCGGGGTTGGAGAGAAGAGTTTTATGTCTTAAAAAAACTGCCACTGTAAATATTTAGGCGTTCTGGTTTATCATAGAATGCACAAAATTGATCTTTAACAGAGCCATCCAATGGAATGAGAAAGATATATGTGTATTTTGCGGTGAAGTTTTCACGAACTTTTGCGAACCCATGATAATTACGTACTTGAAATTCTTGTGGTTGAGGTCAGGAAGGGTTTGACCATTCGTATGGGTGGACGAAGTGTATTTTGCAGATGTTTTGACTGAGACTATTTCCAAAATAACTACGCGAAATGAATGATCAGGAAAAAGAAACTGAGTAAAGGGCACGAATTTCGATATTGCCAAAACTACCAGTAAAATCACTTGCACGGATACGTATCAAGATGTTTACCAAATATCATATATATATATAAATTGTAATTATTTCACTAGCTATTTGTGAGCTTGGATAGTTCATGTTATTTTAGGTGATTCCTAAATGATTTTCGTTAACACAGGCACGGTAATTGCCAGAAGGGCGATGATATTTGGAGGACTAGCTGGTGGCACTTGAAAAAATCTTGTCAGGTCGTACAAAATAAGATAACCTTGACGAAAAGTCAGACCTTCCCGAGGCCTTTCGAATTTCATAAAGACAGCTCTTAGACTAATCCATCCAGCCGAAACCTGTTCCCGCTTTTGTCTCATCCGTTTGGGCGTTTTTGACAATTTTAGGAACAATGAACCAACAATGCACTCTTGTAAATGGGGAATCTTATGCAAAAATAGAACAGTTGACGTTGATTCAAAATTTTTACAATTCTTAATCGATTCACATGCGGGAGTTTTGGCTACAAACAGTCCACGTCCGGAAGCAAATCCTGAAACGGATAACATTTTCTGATGGAGGAGAAACTACGGAATCAGTAGCACTTTCGATTCTTGTCACGTTTGTATTTCAAACGATGAATATGCATAAATTTTTAGCTTAAGAGTCTCCATGAACAGGAAACGATTCTTAAACGGATAGCATGTACTTGGGACTGAAGGATACTTGTGAAATTCGTCTTGCACTTTCGGTTCCTGTCACGTTTGATATTTCAAACAGATAGTAGCGCTTTCAGGAACAGCCACTTACCTGCGGTCTGCGAAAGCCTACAAGTCATTAATCAGTACTATTTTTAAGACTTCTGTGGCCCCTTTTGCAGTCACGGCCGCCTGATCGTCCATCTTCATCTACGGAAAAAATGCTCGAAGAAAGCATGAAAATGTGAAAAAAAAATTTGCAAAGAAGAGGTTGCAAAATGACGAAACGTGGACGGAAAACACTTCGTTTTGGATCAGGTTGAATATAGTCATCTTTTGTGGAACGGCTCTCGTGTTTTGCTTCGACAGCAACTTGACAAATTTAGTTTTTAAGATTTAAAAAGTAATTTTTAGCGATTGTTTGAAAAGATTAGCTTATGTTAACGTTAACTAGTGCTATTAAGCAATCGATTCAAACTTTTCTAACGAAAAAATGTGTTAAAGAGTTAGATCGAAGGAAAAAAGAAATAAAGTTTTTGAGACGTCATAAGTTATTAGCAATTGACAAGCAAACGCGAAACAAACTCGCAAATTAACTTTACTAACTTCGGATTTGAGAGTTATTCCTCAAACTCTGTCGGCAGTTATCTACGAGAAAAAGAAAACGAAAGACAAAAACATTAATTATAAAATAACAGACCAGTGAGGTTAGTAAATCCACTTCCGGCTTCCGGTCTGCTATTTTCGATGTTTACAAAAGATGAAAACATGTCTCTTCATTGACACATCGCGACCTTCCTCCCACTAACGCACAAGCTCAATAATCAATGTTTACTATTATCAATAATCAGCATTCTAACTATACCTTTATTAGCGGATGGTAAAAATTGCCTGCAAAGGAAGTAGTTTACTGCCTTTTTTTCAATAAGCATAATACACAAGTAAAGAAATCATTCCCCCTCGCGCGAGAGCTGCGATTAACGAAACTGCGGAAAAGAAGTAAGCTTGGATAAATTCAAGCTTCGACGAGACTCAAACACACGCTTCCCAGATACTACATTTGGCTGGGTGCCTCAACCAAATGAGCTTCAAAGTCACCTTTTGGGAGCGAGACAAAGTTTGGAAGGCTTTCTCTCTTGTAAAAGAATCTATCTCAAATATTAAATAAAATAAATAATATTTTGACTCGTGGATGATGACTCTTATTTTTGGGTGGAAAACACTTCCAATCATTCGGAATAGTAATCTTGATTGTACAGTTTGTTTTATCAGAGAAATGATATGTCGTAGCCATATTTTAAAACTAGGTTTTCTCCCTTCTCCTAACTTTCTATTCATAGCTTTTTCAATATCGAGTTTGCTGTAGCGTCTTCCCAACCTTTTTGCATCGTTACCTCCATTTCGGCCCCATTTTCTCGCATCTCCTCACCAAAAATCACAGAATTTGGTCCCACTATTTCTCACGAGAACCGAAATGAACTTCAAAGTTAGCGGTAGACGATGCTAACAAGCTCTTCGGAGCTTTTAAAATACCAGATCTCAAAGTTTAAAGCGAACAGAGTTAATTCATGAAGTGATGAAGAACTCAAGTCGAACAATCCTCCAAATTGAAACAAAGTGCAGATACAAATTTATTTGCAATGTTGCTGATCACTTGAGAAATTATGACACAAAAGTGTTACCAAACCTCTTAAAAAATGAAGTGCACTGAACTATCCAATGCACGTCCGGGTATTATTGGAATCAACCCTCTATCCAAACTATTTTCATCGAAGCTCATCCCTTCAATTTTTTCGATTACATTGAGCTTTGGACAATTGACAATGGCAGTTGAGCTTCAACTGATCGAGGTTTTGCCATGGCTATCAGAGTGCTAGTACCCACGAGGAGCGAACTGTTTCAATATAGATCATGGATGATGTTGTTTAAGATGGAGTTTTTATACTCAACTTTTTCATGCGAGAATTTGGAAGTATATTGACCCAAGATCCTTCTTCTGGAATTAAATTTTATTGCTTTAAATTGGGGTGATGGTAAAGGTAAAGCTGTTGCTTTGCCGGGTGAAGTAAACGTTGTGACCAGGAGATACAAAAAACGATAGAGTTATTTTTCAAAAGCAACTTTTTATACAAATTTCCTTTTATCTACATTCAATGTTATTTACACATTTCAAGTAAGCTCATTTTCTATGTACAAAGAAATGTTTTACCACGGTTACCATAACTGGTCCCCTTGTTTTCATTCCTTTTTGCTACAAGAGAAGGACTATGGCATTGAATTTCTAAACAAATGACAGAATTTGTGAGAGCATTCCAGAACATGCTGTTTTTACATGGTGCGCTGAATAACTGAAACTGGTATTGACGTATTATAAAGTGTGGGCTGAATCGGTTTAAAACCCAAGGGAATTGACGTCAACGGATCCACGTAGGGAACCACAACCCTGCTTCTGCCAATAAAAACTGCTGGTGGTTTGAGAAGTGAGGAGCCTGGATACCACAACATCGGTCTGGCAGGAACGGGCACAGCTGGCCATGACCAATCTTTTCTGAGTGGAGTAATGACGGGGTTGATGGGACTTGATGGACTTGGGGGAAGAAAGGCTGAAGGTACAGGCGAAGGCACAGTGATTTTCTGAGGAGATGGTGCTTGATATTGTTCTTGGTCGATACTTGTATTTATCTTTTTTAATTGATGTGGAGATCTTGTTACACCAGGCTCGTATCGATAGGGAAGTTTGTGAAACTTATACACCAACCTTTGACCACGAACCTAAAAAAGTTAAAGAAACAACTGATCAGTAATGCGCCTCTAGAGGATTATTTCTCTTCCTATGGTTTCCCACCACTAATTTCTTTAACTACTATCCACGAGTAAAGAGAATTTGTCATTCAATTTTTTTGTGTGCGTTCAGTCTATCTGCTGAGCCAGTTACGTCTGAAATCATGGTCGATTATTTCAAGTTCTCCATTTATGCGTCAAAATGACGTTAGCAGCTTCATATTAATATCGGGTTAGGCTATTTTGGGCCTGAGAGAGTACACCCCCTCAATACAAGCAAAGCAACGATTTTCAAACGCCAAATGTAAGTCAAATAATCATAAAGGATGGACTGCTTATTAAAGAAAATAACGCAATTGGCAAGAAGATAAACTTCTTGACTTCTTGTTACAGTTAAGTGTAACATTAACCATCCTCGATCTCAAGAAAATTCATAAATTTATCCTCTCATAGCATAAATAAAAAACGAGCGAAGCCTCAATTTTTTGGAAATTTGAAACCTTCAGATGCTATTAAAAAGCAAGCGACAAAGATATTTTGAATCACTATTTTTAGTCAACACAAAAGTGTTTTTCCTGTTTGAAAAGTGTTATTCCTGATTGAATGGCGTGGGCGATTTTTAAACGCAATCAACCTTGCTAAAGAATGTTCGAACAAGCCGTCTGTGTGAAACTTCTTAAAATAAATTTAGTGTCCACTCCCTTTCTGCCATTGTTTTGATTGTAGCGAATGAAGTCTTTGGCACTATGTCAATTCCTTGCCGTGTATTATTTACGTCATACTAAACATACATGCTCCCACGTTCTTACTTAACTCTAGGCAACCTCTCCTGATCAATGCTTGAAGTTAGCATCCACTGATTATGTTCTGGAATTTACAAATTTCTCGAGTCTTGCTATTCTTAATAAGTCAAGACATACTGTGTTCTATGGCGCCCCGTGTATTGCTTCAAAGTTTGAAAATCGCTTATGACGATAAGATATAACATAGTGTGCTAAGGATCCCTGAACTCACCTTTTTGATAATTCCTTGTTGGTAGTAGTATCTTAAGGCTCGGCTGAGTTTTTCGTAGTTCATCCCTGTCTTGCCTTTAAGCCGTCCCCACCTTTTAGCGACCTCATCAGGATTGTTCAGTTTAAACTCCCTGTGGTCTTTCCTACTCCAGCAAATGATCCCTTTACAGCTATCGCTCGCCAACAGCTCCAAAAGAAACTCCCACAAGTGGACAATGTTTTTGTAACGAGGTTCTTTGGCGACTGAGGTCATCAGTTCGGACTTCTGAAGATCTGCTTGGTTCAAACGCTCTTCGGTGAAGGCTTTTAGTTGTTTCTCCATCGTCTGATCTACTGATTGCAATGAAATGAAAAGAAGGGAACGTTAAATTAAGTTCATTATATAGTTGGTGCAATAGTTTATTGACATTGTCCATAAAGACCGAGGTAACTATATTTTTCCCTCTATGAGCGAGAGGGTAATGATCCATCTTGGATAATTTAACAATTTATCATTTTGCAACTTAAAATGCGTCTTTATCTCTGCTACCCTCAATCGCTTCTGCTTGCTTTCGCTTCACTCGCCTTTTGCAACTTGATTACATTCGGACATAGGTTAAACAAAGGTTTTATCGATGAAAGTTTTATTCTGTTCAAAGCTATTTCTCTTTGACGCCCAGAATAAATGAAAATATTGTAATTAACTCTTCCAAGTTTGCATGATTTAGAAATTGTTTTCTGATTGTTAAAATTGCTCTATTTTCATTTTGAGCAGCCAGCCTCTCTGAGTCCTTAATTGGAAACTGAGAGATCTACACGCTTCCGAACCTGCACCCTGGAATTTTTATAAAGAACATAAGCTATAATACATGAGCTGAGCAAGCCTGTTGCAAACAAAAATTAAAACAAAATTAGTTTTACCATGGTTTTCACGCTCCATTGTCGACATAACCATTCTTTCTTCTCAACTTTTGACCAGCTTTGCTAATGTTCAGCTATGAGATGAATTTCTCCTTGTTTCAACCTCAAATTGGCTGTGTTCGACCGTTTGATCAAGCTTCAATACAGGAATATTTATATCAGAATATCAGCAACAGGAAGTGCTTAAATTAGCGATTAACTATTCTCTTCCATTTGCGTAATAGCATACGTGAGGTGAGTGAAGGTCACGCAATTACGCACTTCACTGCTAGTTACATAACAAAACACTTGGAAGGCTTCGCGCTTCAAACAAGGATTCTATGAATTTTTCAAACATAAAAAAATACAATTTTAAGCACAGGGCTGCATCGTTCGACAACTTCACCGGCCTCGCGTGATCAATTTATTTTGCGAGAAAAAAAATTGCTTGCAGAGCTATCAATGTTTGAGCGCTTTGTGTCGAGTAAGTTAAGGTTTTCGCAAGATAAAAATTGTCTCATAGAGCTTAGAAATAGCTCAAGAGCACGGATTCAAGGCTAGTAGTGTACTTTAGTTGGAATGATAAGTTAGGACTCGTATATCTCTTGCGTGATCAGCTCAAGCTGCGAGGAATTATTTTATTTCATTACGAATGCTTTACTTTCTTTAGAATCAAAAATATTCATCCACTCTGATGTCCAGCGGCGCATTACGTTTATAACAAATTATTCTTGATTTTAAAACCGATAAAACTTAGACAGCGATTTCGATTGTTTTGTTTTGTCGCTTAACACCATTGCGTGACCAATAGAGGAACTTCAAACTGCAGACACCGGAAACAGGAACAACTCCATTTTCAAATGTCTTCCGGGCTTATAAAATTTTAGTTACACAAACATTTTTGCAGCTTGTAAATTGTAGCATGTTCAAAACTAAACAAAATAGTTTTTTCCATAAGATATACTTTAAGACTTAAGAGCACAGAATGTGTATTTCCTTTTTTTTTTTCGCGTACAATGGTCAACCATGCTACGTACGTAGCAATTCAGTCACGTCACGCCATTCATTGCAATTGTTTTGAGACTGTCGTCAGAAATACTTCAGATTCCATCCTCAACCTTATCCCACCCACACGAATTTTTGAATGGAAAAAAGAAAGCAGTTTGGACAAGGGCCATTGCTTATTCGATGATATGGGGCTTAAATCAATTCCGCAAAAATAATGGACCTTTAGTCTCGATCCGATCAGCAGAATCAAATTTGTCGTCGGAGAACATTTCATATCGAGACATGCGTTAAGGACGACTGCGTGTAATAGCAGTCAGAGAAGTTCATAATGAAGTTAAGTTGGGATGGGGCTTTGAGGTTAAAGGCCTTCGAATTGGAACAGCTCATACCATTCCCACTTCCAGTCTGTTTTTTTGTTGTTGACCACAATTGGGAAGTCACAGTTTATCTCGTCTCTGTAAGAGTTTGGGGAAGTGGATGAATAACGGAACTTTTTGTCTTGACGGGTGTTCGTCATGGTAACACACATTATCGCATTAACCCGCGTGACGCAGTACTTACTGTGTTTCATAAAGGTGTCAGCTGTCTTAAACAGGGGGCCTTTAATAGCAACGACAACTTTAATTGCAGATGGCTAGTTGATGTAAGCCAACAAAAAACTATTAAAGTTACCGGGTTGTTTGCAATCCTGGTTATAGTCTGGAACTAGATGGTGCAAGATTTATGTTCCATGTCGAGTGTGTGTTCCTAAATCCAAGTTTGCATTCAAGCATTGCTTTTGAATCAGATCAAAATGGCTTTCTTAGTTTAAAGCTTAAGTTTCCCGAACGAATTCATGTTAAAAGCAGGAGTGATCTCTGTGTATACATGGGGTAAACTGTAAACTTGGTGAACTATTTAATATGACATCTATTACAATGAATATATATGAAGTTCATATATTTTGAACTGCGGTATTAAATACGTATGATGCACGATCCTTCGCAGTAGATAGCGCTATTTATGCAATAGCTATTGCATAAATAGCGCTATCTACTGCGAAGGATCGTGCATCATACGTATGACATCTATTGTGAAATCTTCACAATAGAGGCCGGTTTTCTTTGATATTCCAAAGAAGTAATGAACGACACCTGATTCATCTGTAATTAGCATGATGTTAAAATTCTAGAACACATGTTAGGCTATAAAAATGCGTTACTTCATCAAGTGAGAGCGCTCAACAGGAAACGCATGACCTTCAAATGGTCGAATTAACATCAAAACAAAGCACTACTTCCTGTTCCTCTTTATACTGATGGGAACTGGAACTACGATCAACCCAACTTCCAGGAGAAGAAGCAAAAAAATGAATGAAGGATATCCGTGCTGATATCTCCGCGAAGACGAGAATATTATATCAGTTGAATAAGTTTAAGCTGCAGGACACATTTCATCTCTCAGTAACCTCAACATCCCAAGGTATGATGTAGCACTTCTTGCGCAACGAATGTATATTGATATGAATGACTATTGTACTCTTTTATGGGGGTGGTAGCATAGCTGGGAAATATTTGAAAATCTAAATGTTTATAAGTTATCAAAGTGCACTGATCGATCCGGACAGCGCATTATAGATGTAATAGGTAAGTCTTTAGACTGCTTAGCAGAGCTGTAACTAATCATAATGTTGAGGCACATGATTTCAGCCTTTTTCCTATGGAAACTGAGTTAAGGTGTTTACCTTAAAAGTCCGATAAACAGTCAAATCGTTTGACCCGTTCTTTGCATAATAACCTCAGGCAGCCTGAAATATTTGAAAAAAGTTAATGCATGAAATTTGACCAATTACCGTGCTTATAAGGGAAATCGTTATTATTTTTAGTCGACCTTTGAGCTTAAGAGACTTGCGAATATTTGTCAATGATGTGAGAGCAGGGCATCCTGCTTCTCTTAGCGCATGATGGGTATACTTCGCAAGCCAAATTATATTCTCTCGTGCGTTCTTTGCGCGAAATATTTAGTCCTTATAGGGAATCGTCTTTCTTTATTTCATCACCGAGCTTAGATATTTAACATCTTTCTTATTCTGCATGTATTTACGACATTGCTTATCGTAGTTGTATTCAGGAAGGTGTCATTTATGAAGATCATAGTAAAACCAAGCCACCATAGAGTTCTCTGTAGCTACACTTAGCTGAGGATCTAGGATCGTGCATAAATACACTTAACAGAGTACCGGAGTTCGGAGTTTGACGGGATAGACTTTCAATTTCTCATGGGGACTCAGATTTATTTCCCTTATCTTATGTCCGAGACAAGACGATGAAAATACATCTATCTTTAATTAAGAATTTATTGTGGACGTCAAGAGTTAACCAGAAAATCTTTTCAGTATTACCATAAAATCGTCTCCTTAATCTAAGGCCTGCTCGCTTATCCGGGTTTGTGTCAGAAGACCGTGCAGTCAATTAAATGTATCACAAACTTTACTTTAATGCGGTTGACGTTTACCCTTCTTATTAAAATTTTGTCTTACAATACGATTGCCGGTGCTCCTGTCGGCTGAAAAACTGTTTTTTCTGTATTGCTGTTCTCAATTTCGGAAGGATGTACCTTTAAGGATGTGCCTTTCAGCGTTCAAGATCTGTCCATTAAAGGCAATGTTTTGAATATGAATCAGTAAGAAACAGATCTTGTCAAGCGGCCGGCTTCATACGAGTATGAAACAGGCTTCCTAAAACAGGACGATTTGTTATTGAACGAATCACGTTTCAGCTAGGGAGTGAACAGCGATAGAGATCGGTAGAGCTAAGTAATGCTGGGAATGCGGAGAAAGGTCAACAAAAAATGAAGGGACTACACCCTTATCTTCGCCTGGTTGATTTTAACATGGAGGACAACGCTAATCGCTGAGGGAAAACTTTCGTCAAAGAAACTCCGGGAGAACCTGTGTAGTTTTAGATATGTTTACTGTTGGTCGTGCACTCTGCCGTGTGCTGTGTTATTTTCCATACGGACCCTTCGATACTGTGTATCAGTTAATCACTGGAAAATTCGTTATTTTCTGAGCTAGAGGGCATTTACTCAATTTATTCCATGTGGTTAGGCCGAGGAAACAATTATTAGAAATGGTCAATCATAAAAAACAAGGGTACTAAACTGAACGTAAATTGTCAATGGTCTCCTCTTTCTAGTCTTGATAAAATATTTCTCACTCATTTTTGCTCACTTTTTAAAAACAAATAGGTGATCGTAGTCACGCTAAACGCATCAGAGGTTTCACTTTTGTTGCTGAGAATATTTTAAGGGAAATATGATTCTCTACAAATGTTCCATTTTCACAGCGACAGTATATGGCTGCGTCAGTTACTGACGCCAGAAAAAAATTTCGGTTTCCAACTGGTTGGAAAGTGATTAACGAGTCGAGATTTGATTCTGACTGCTGTGATTAAAAAATGAAACGGGTCGTCGTAATTTTTTTTTGTTCAGAACTGAAATTTCCTATCAAAGTTGCGGTCTCTGCTGATGATTTTAACGTAGATCCAGAGCCGGAATATAGAGGTAAAATCATGTAGCCACCTGACTTTCTTTTGCTAAAAATGTGATTACCGTTCTAAATTTGTGGATGGCAGTGACCGCAATAGTTGATTGCCATTGGCCATGTGAAAGTTAGCGCGATTTTAAATACTATATTCAAGCCATCTCACTACCACGATTCAGCAAATGCACGATTTGTCAAAGCGTTAAGTCATGTTTAGCGAGTCACGTTGGGAAAATTAATGAACCGTCACAGTTACCAGGTACTCCTATCAGGGCCAAACCCACCGGTACAAACGAAAGACTTGAGCCCTCCAAATGTTATAGCGGTTTTTTAATCACACGACTTTCTTGTCCTAATAGTTGATGTTGCAATGAGCGAAGCTTCAAAACGTCTCTCCGAGGAAGGGCAAAGTTTAAATTCGATTGTGTCTGCCATGGATTCCGAGAACGCCGAGCCTCGTTACAAGAACATCGTCCACTTGTGGGAGTTTCTTTACGAGTTGCTTGCCAGTGGTGACAAGTGCAGCTCGATCATAGCCTGGATCAGAGAGGAACATGGAGAGTTTAAACTAAAGAACAAAGAAGAAGTCGCCAAAAGGTGGGGTGCTTATAAGAAGATAAAAGGAATGAACTACGAGAAACTCAGCAGGGCTCTTCGACATTATTATCCAAAAGGAATTATTAAAAAGGTGAGCCTTATACACGAGACTGACATCAATTTCTGTTTCGTTGTTGTCCATTTTTGTAGGGTGAGTATGGCAATGATCAAAGTTCAGTTGTCTTGAATAAACTCATAGGATATAGGAAAAATTTATTCGAAGGCGAAGAGAGTAAACGCATAAAATTCCCGAAGTTAAATCTCTTAATTTTGTACCAGGCGGTGTCCTATCTTATCCACAACTCGAAAACAACAATCTCAGTGAGAACATGTGAAAAAAGTCGTCAATGATTATTTCCCCAATCTTCTCGTCCACTTTGTTTTAAGTTTCCTTCCTTTTGATAATGGACGCATGCAGTAACATAATTTCGAAACAAACTTATGTGGGTACGGACAATAAGGCTGCTCGACTAACCTCAATATTTTCGCTAATGAACATGTTTTTTTTTATCCGTCAAATTAGCATGATACAGGTGCCCAAGCAATCAAGGGACATTGTCGATAGCATTAAAGAATCGAAAGTGAAAGAGAAAACCACGTTCGAGTGAACAATTACGTCAAAATAGCCCCGAGACTCAGAAAAAAAAAAAAAGCCTGTGTTATGCATCTTTGAGTACAGGAGTATATTTCACCTAATTTCACCTAATTTCAATTACAATAAAACAAAACAAAATTCAAAGCAGCACTTTAATGCCGCAGCACTTAAATGCAATCTCATCTACTCAATCTCAAGACTTGACATGTATTCCCAAAGCTTTACCTGCTGACCAATTATAACCGACTGGTTCAGGATATGCAAATTATTATGCTGCCCGCTGATTAAATGGGCACTACAAGTACATGTCGCGAAAGACAGTAGCATTCTGGGAGATGTATACTTAACTTGGCGATGTTTAGATCACAAACGTCTACCGCACCCAGAGAACATCGATGAATAACATGTAGAATCAATAAAACATTTCGTTTTCTCATGAAATTACCGGTGAGTGTGCGTACAGTTAAAAGGTTTGAGTGTAAAGGAACAGTTTTCAGTTACATCTTCCGGAGAGCAGCCTTAATCCCTCATTTATCTCGTTTGGTGATTTATCAATCTTATCAAATAAACAAACAGCCAAGACGGCGTATTAAACTGTTCGTCGCGTGTGCCCAGGAAGTATTCAGGGTGAGACAACAGCGTTAAAAGCCCCAGCCAGGATTTAGCCTTTTGAACGTTAGACAATTATAACAGGTCGCAGATTTCACTGCGCGATTTGAAATGAATTTTTATCGATTCTGCTATTGTTTTTTCGGAAACTCTCATGCCCGAGTAACTTTTATTTGGTAATGTATAAGTTTTAATTGTTCCTTTTTAATCGTTTTTTGTTTAGGTCGCGGGCCAGAGACTGGTGTATAAGTTTAACAAATTGCCATACAAGTATGAACCCGGCGTAACGAGATCTCTTTACCACGGAACCAGAATCAAGGCTTGCATCCAAGAACCAACGAAACCGAAAGAAACCAACCCTGCCCCTCCCAAGATCAATACTAGCACTTCACTGTCAGCCTTCACCCCGGTCCGTGGATATCCCAAAAAGAGCTGGTCTTGGCCGCTTCTTTCTGCGCCATCAGATCCTCTCGTGTGGTATCCAGGTTCCACACCTAACTCTCCAACCATATTTGACAGCTCTAAGACCATGATCGTGTTCCCGTTTGTTCCCAGTCCCCCTGTGCACCATCCCTTACAGCTGCATTTCAAACCAAAACGGGAAAACGATGAACCTGTTGGTCAAATGATAACCCCTGAGGTTACATCGATTCCGGTTTCGGTAATAAAGCGTGTCTAACGTTCGCTGATATCTAGCCCTTTGACACACTTCTCAGATTTTTTTTTTCAAAGAGATTTTATTTTGATACCTTAACTTAAGGTCGTTTTACCCTATAACAGACTTTTCAATTGCTTCTCCTGCTATTTTTGCACGTTAGGTTGCACAGTCTACTGTGACGTAGTCTGGATGATAACAAAATCGCATCGGAGTTTTTCATCTATGCATACATTTCTTTCAGCGAAGCTTTTTGTTTTGCCAAACATTGCTCGATTATACTAAGAAGGATAGCACTGAGCCGAAAAGAGAAAGTTATTCTCTTAATTAGAGGATTGTCCTTCCAATACTTTAATGTTGATCATTATTGTTGGTTAATAGCACCAAGATTATAATGGTAAATTTTTCGTAAAAAAGTATGTTTCTTTTATGACCGTGAAAAGTTATAGAAAAATATTTTAATTTTTGCGATAAAAAGTCTGAAGATGTATTTTTTCCATATAATTTATCTTAATTTTTGTAAGTTAAAAAGCTTAACGTATTTTTCAAATATTGATACAAGATGAAAATAAATTTGTATGGTTTTTGACGTATATCTGAAGTTAACCTTCGTGAAAGAACGTACTAGTGGCAAGAGGACCTCTGAGCTGTATAATCCCTTAAGACCCATAAACAACCCTAGCTTGGCGTTACACTTCCCAAAAATAATGTCTGCGCAGGAAATATTTGCTTTTGCGTCCGCAGGCTTATTGTGGTCAATTGCGGTAAAGTGCAGGTCATTTGCGTTTGATTTCTGGAGGCCGGAAGAACTTCTTTTGAAGCTAAATTTTTAAAACGCGTGAACTTCTTGAAGCAGCCTTAACTTCTTCGCTGTTCTTTTTGCTAAGAAGTCAGAAAAAGGATTAGAATCGAAAAAGAAATTTAAAAGCATTCAACACCTTACTGTTTTAACCTTCTGATTTAATTTTTTCTCTCGGAAAAATTGAATTTGTACTTTAAAAGCCAAGAGCCGTTCTTAAATAGCCTTTTATACCAATTTTACACTTAAAATTAGCTTGGACCGACAATCTTAAACAGCAACTTCCGGTTTTCGACATCCGCTTTCTTCTTTTATTAGCTGTTTCTTATTCCTTTCTAAAACTTTTCCATACAGTGCTTTTTATGTCTCAATATTTTTACCCAATAATGGTGTGTCCGCGTTAAACACGTCGCTTTTACCGTTTGTTTTGTTCTATTTCTCTTTCACAGTTCAAACATTCAGACCTCAGAGGATAAAAGCAAAACCCTTTTTCTCCTACCTCAAAACACAAATTGTTTATAACCAGCTTTTCTAGGCGATACCCATCAGTAAAAAAAAAAAAAAAACAATATAAAACATAGGGGAAAGTTCAGTGTCTTTTATTACTTTACACATTTGCTTCCAGAAGGTGAAGATCACGACCTCCATTTGAATATTTAATACAGTGAGATTAACTCAACTAAATACGACTGCATTTCCTGCAGGACTTTTAGAGTTTAGAGCTTTGAATCAAATCCCACAATCGAGAAAGGCCGATTAAACTTCTTTTGAAAGCTGATTTTTTTTTTTTTTCTTTTCTTTCCCCCCTTTTTTTTTTAATTCTTATTTATAACCTCTCGCGTGACGGAACAGAACGTTCTCGGCTGTCACGCCAGATATGATTGCAACCGGAAGATGCCGAGAGGAAGTAAATAAATTTTTATACGATTGATAGAACTTCCCTTGTAGCAATAGTCATGCTTAAATAAAGCTTCCAGGTGCAACTACCATTATGAGTAAGACCCATTTACAGCTGAAAGTCCTCCAGTTTTCCGTTTCATTTCCAAGTGAAAGTGGTCGAAGAAGGACGCCCTACTGACTGTTGACTCCCCCGCAAAATGGCGTCCCAAACAGCAGGTAGATTTTTTTTTTTTATTTCTTGATTTCTTACTTCCAAAACAAATTATTGAGCCCGAGCTGTCGGTTACTTATGTTTAAAAGTTTTAGCTGTATCGATGAATTTTTTAACATTTTGCTCGGTAGCTTGTCCTAGCCGAGAGTGAGAACATAAATAGTAAGTTATTGACTCCGCGATAATGGTACTGAGTACAACGCCTGGTGGGCGATGAGTTGTCTAAAATTAGTATTTTGTAGACCGATCACCTAAGAACAGCAAGCGAACTGGCATCCTCCACATGGAGATTCTTTTGATGCTAACAAAGTCACTATGAACGATTAATGAGAAAAAAATATATATTTTGAAACAGCTTTCCCCTACATTTGTCCAATGTGGCGTGGGCACACATGGCTGGTTGATATAATATCATAATTATAACGAATGTTGGAAACAACAACAACAAAAAATATTTTCTCAAAATTTTGAACAAAGAGAGAGCTGTTGCTTCTAAATGGTACTATCTTCTCGTTTCGTTTAAAGTTAAGTCGAAACTTTGAGACTAAGTGTCACGACGCTGAGTCTCGAGTTAACCAACGCAACAGTTCTTCATCATTTGTATAATTCGCTTGTTGAGTTATGTCATTCGCCATACACGCTAATTTTTTGCTTGAGCTGTAAACAGTTAAGAGGTTTGCGCCTTTTATTTGAGGATCACACTGACACAAGGCAAAATAAAACTTGAATTTTGTAGAGCACCAACCAAACATACTGAGCGGAAGCAACAGCGAAGTAAGAGCCAATACTTGTATAGTTTCATTCAAAATTTACAATGTTTTATCGTTCGTTTAAAAGTAAATTACAATAATGACCAAAGATCTAATGACCAGTTTCTCAGAACTGAGTGATCACAGATGCAAATCTAGATTTTAAACTAAGGATTCTACCCTTGTAAGACTCACGAATTCATTGTAATAGTAAAAAAAGTGTTAGTTTGGAGCTCCACCATTCTTTAATGAAGTTTGTTCGCCGTCCACGGATTTGATCAATGGCTAATGAAAGTATATTATTCTGAAGAACTGTGGCGTTTCACAACAGTTACACTCATCATAGAGAAACAAAGAACAAAAGATTTTATCTGTCTTGTGCACAGGTAACTCAAAAATAAGCCGATGGAGAACGAAATTAGTTTACATGACAACTCTTTCCTACTGAGGGAAACCAAAAGTATGACTCATGCGACGAACTCTTGTTGCAGTTTAAACAGTGATCGTGCAGCTCTCATATGAAATAAGATTTAGATATTGTGGTAGAGTGGAGAAGCATTATGTTTTCTTTCATCCGTAATTACTAATAGTGGTTCAATCGTGCAATAAACAAAAGTATTATTGTAGTGAACAATAAAAGTTAAGTTTTGAATGCATCCACATCAAGTTTGTTTCATTATCCTTGATATCACGGTTTAGGCTCAGTATCTTCAGAAATATTCAAAGCGTAAAAAAAGGCGTTCACGAAGACCTATATCCTCTCCCGACGAGGAACAGGTGTAGCAGGAGCAAATGAAGTCTCTGGAAAGAACAACATTTTCAGTACGAGCAAATCTAAATAAGCTTACATTTTCTTTGAGAGATTTAACAAGTTTGTGATGGCATAGAATGAGATAATTTTTCTTTAAGTTAATTAGAGAAAGCGTTTGGTGTAAGGCAAGCTATCTTGAGTTGAACATGCAAATTTTGTGGTTGTTGATCGAAGAGAACTGAGTTGTTTATTGTGGAGAAGTGTGTTCAGCATAATAATCGTTTGTCTCCTGTAATGAAGACCTGCCGTGAAGGTAATGATGATGATAATAATAGCGTTACAAACGAATAAAAGGCAAATTTGTTTTGCAGCAATATCATGATCATTTTCAGTTTTATCACTGACCGTGTTCTTATGAGTTCGCCATTATCACTCAATAATCTGTAGAAATCTACTTCGTCTAAAATACATGCTTCTCTCACTGAGTCAAATAAATTTTATAGAGAAAGTTGGAGGTTGGGCTCATCGACGCAAGCTTAACGAAACATTTGTTGTATCTATTTAATTTTGGATCTCTTCAACAGGTGTAAAACTGCGTCAATTGTCATCTTTAGTCATTTTTGATCTTTTCTTTCAAGCAGATGGCTCTTAACTGTATCTTCAGGGCTTTTAGAGGAAGTTTCTAAGCAGTTGAATAGTTAGGAATTAAACTAGTACCCTCTTAAACCTGAGAACTAAAAATGGGGTTAAGGTTTGGTTTGAAAGAAATTTGAGCTGTACTTCGCGAAATTTTTTAACAGATGGGATCTTACTGACTCCATCTTTAAGGTGGAGGACTTGTATGGAGCGATAGCAGAAAGGGGTGTAGTTTCTTTCTACTTTAGAACGTATTCAACTCAGTTTTAGTGTCCATTTGAAACATAAAAGCTTTCAAAAGGTGCAGCGTTAGAATTCAAAAAGCGACAACATGTATGATATTAAAATAACTCTTTCTTTCTCTTCTCTATATTTTAACAAACCAATGCTATGAAAGTACAGGGTAAAGAGACAGATCTAGAAATCGAGGTGACAGACGAATCAAACAACGGAGGCAAACACTCACAAGTCAAAAAACATCGTCGCAAGAACGTCATCCACCTGTGGGAATTTTTGTTGGAGCTTCTCGCCAACGACAATTTGTGTACCATAATCTGCTGGAGCAGGAGAGAGTTGAACGAGTTTCAGCTCAAAAGACCCGAAGAAGTGGCAAGAAGATGGGGTCTGCTACGAAAACGGAAAGGAATGAATTATAAAAAACTCAGTCGCGCTTTACGATTCTATTATGGCAAGGGAATTATTCAAAAGGTTGGTACTGTCGTTTACTGAGAGATAGATTCACTTACTTTAAGCTAGGTAACCCAAGTGTACTCACTGTTGTTATATAAAGCTGGCTAAAGCCATCTCACCAAAGAACTGGAGGTTGAAAAAATGGAAGCCGTGGTAAAGTCCAGCAATTATTCCTGGCACAACCTAACTATAGTCCTTGAAAGCAAAATTATATCTGCCACAACCTGACTATAGCTCTTGAAAAGTATAAAGAGATGCATTGCACTATGCCATTGTGGCAATGTACCGATATATTGTGCATTGCATTGTGCCATATCTTTCTCATAAAAGCATTATTACTGTGAGTTGCTGTTGTCTGTGTCAAAGCTGTGCATTGCACCACCATCTCATTCCCCATACTGCTCAATTTAAGTCTTTAAAATGCAGTGTGGTGTTGGTGTTTTAGAGAGTACATATGCTTTTTCATTTGTGGTATGGTTGAAGAATCTTACTGCATATACTAGATTGTACATGGTGTCTGCCAGTTGACGTGGTGCAACAGGTGTTTGTTAAAATTATGGTGCAATGACTTCTTTACCATAAAGAGATTTCCTAGTGTTTCTTCTAGTGTAATAATCTTAGTGTTTGCTACTTGAGTTAATGCATCTTATCGGGGTTGATTGGTGTTTGCCACTTGAGTTCATAGATCTTATCGTAGTTAATTGGTTGTAATAATTTTGGTGTTTCCTATTTGAGCTCTGGATCTTATCGTGGTTGGTTGGTTTTAATGATGTTGTTGTTTGCTACGGGAGTTCTTGGATCGTATTTAGGTTGATGTGATGAACATTATTTCATAAGTTGTAGAGTGTTTCGATAGTAATTACACTAATTGTGGTATGTCATTACTATGGTAACACAGGGTACTTGTTGTGAAGAATGGTACCCTTTTTCCAACTCACGTGAGAAAATTGATTTTATCTTCCACTTGTTATAACTCACAGTACAAATGTACTTCACAGTGGTAACTGATTAATGATGTATAAAATGAATGATAACCCATGTGTCCAGATTTTCCTGGAGTCTGAACATTTTAAGGTTTTCTTCATGGCTTAATGGCCTTTCTTACAAACATGAAGGGTGCTCTGAATATCTTTCCAGTGTATACCTTTTAAAAAACGTGCACCTCTCTATGTACTATGCATTGGTCTATGCTACATGGTGTTTGGTATTTGGTTAAATAGCTTTAGGGGGTTGTAACTTGTTACCAGAAAACAGTGTACACTAAATTAATCATTCATATCAACTGTTCCATGAGTGTGGGCTTGGCTTCTGGACACTTTTCATCGGTCATGGAGCATTCTATCTAATGTAATGTGTGGTGTTTAGGGTTTTTTTCCTTTTATTATAGATGTTGGACAGAGGATCAAGGTACATCTCAGCCTACACCAAATACCTCTAGCAAGTGACAACATTTTTTCAATATCGACAGTAAGGGTGAGAACTGGACTAATTTACGCAGATGCTAATACTTGCCTGTACCCCAGAACCATCGTCACATTCTAAGTTTTTGTTCCAAGAGACTCCAGTGTTCATCGTCTGCTACGATGTTTTTAGTGCAAGTGGTGCATGATAAGGATTTTTTCTTATGTAGTATCACTGTCTTTTCATTTATTGTGATTGGGCACCGAATTATTATACCATAGTAATGTCCACCGTCAATTCATTGAACATGGAAGTTGTCGAAGTATTCAGCAATTCGCGTATGCTTTGTAGTTCGCGCTATGATTTGTACCTTCCTGTGATACCCATTCTTCACCATCAGCATAGCGTGCTACATCTCAATCGACTGTTTAAGGAAAAGATGTTCGCCATAAAGTAATGTTTTAACACTCATTGCTTCATCGACGTAATGAGTTTATGAAGGAGTTTCTTGCTAAACTTCATATGTAAGGGTATTCCTCTGATATATGTCACTTCTTCTAGGTAGACTTTGCAAGTTTCGTTCAGAACTGAAAAGCCGAAAGCCACAATAACATTAATCGAAACTGAACAATCATCGAAAATAATTCTTCAAACCAATATAAAACGATGAAGACCAGAAAACAGACACACGAATAAGACAACTAAAAACTCCTTTTTTCCCCTCGATACGAAAAATGACCAAAACAAAGCATCCCAATGTTCCTCTCCTGTACGTTCGCCACCTTGAATTCGGCGCGCATTTTGCTTGTTTTGGTGACAACAGTCCTTCACAACAGCGGCCTTACTAGAGATACCTATTGTCCATTTTGATAATGAGTATGCCGCGTAAAGAGTCTGGGAGTCAGAGCATTACAAACAAGAACATTTATTTCGAGTTTTCCACGGTTTTGTGGGTGTAGCTTTTGCATGTACCAATTCCTCCAGCCCAGAGGAATGAAAGCAGTCAACTATTAGCTTCAGCTGATGAAGTTGAAGTCTTTGAAAATTTGAAAAAAAACTAAGTAAATTAGACTTCGATCTTCGTCGTACACATTTTGAAACTAACTCTCAAGGCAGCTCTTGTAAGTAGATTTATGGTCAAGTTATTATTGTGATCTGTTCATGTTGTCCTTCAGCAACATTGTTAAAATATATACAAAGTAATCGAATGAAGCCTTACACTGCTGTAAAAAAGTAAAATGCTTTTAAAAATCCGAGCTTTCGCCGATCAACGGTATCATCAGGGATAAGAAAATATTCCGGGCGCGCTGTATAAATATAAAAAGAGTGTGTGGTGAAATGTGTAAAAAATGTGACTATGTGGCATGAAAGAATGGTTTTCAGTCACTAGCTGAGGATTTAAGTCGTTTATGGCCATCTATTTCATAATTCATCATATTGATCATTTATTTTCATGTTCTCGTAGGTTCCTGGCGAGCGGTTTACCTACAAGTTCGACAAACTACCTTACAGATACCATCCAGAAGTTTCACAGCCAAGAAATCAAGATTGCAAATTGACTTCGTGGGACCAAGAACAAAAGCAAATATTGTCTGATAAATCTACATCCTATTTAAGTAAAGAATCAGTATTCTCGTCTTCATATGAGCAGTCAACACTGTCACGTGCCCACATCCCTTTGGGAAAGAGTATCATCCCCTCTCTCATACCCAGTGCTGCGCAGTCAACACAAATAAGTCAAGTATCAGTCCAACAGCTTTCTCCTCAAATATGTATACTGAGTAAAATAACATTGAAAGCTACTGCTCCTTCACTCTTTCCGGAGCGAGATCTTCTGAATTGTACGACTAAGTCTATTCCTGTGTCAGTTATTAAACGATCGCCTCCAATCCATTATGCTGATGAATAAAATGTTAATTGTATGATTGGTTACTTTTCTTGTGATATATGCAACTCTCAAAGATCACCTCAAAGCTTGTTCTAAAAGTCGAACTTCAAAGGTAACATACACAAGGATGACGAGGGATTAACGCTCGAAACGTATTTCTAGAAACACTCTGCGGTGGCCAATTCTCGTGATCAACTCAGTTGATAGAGCCAACTTATCTTCTCAGACTTTCTACCGACGCAGCAGCAAAGCATCTTTAGAAGCTTCCCCCCCTGTGTACACAAGGATAACTTTTACCTTGAGCAGGTCTTTAGGGCAATAGATTTCCCATCTGTTAAATACCTACTCATACTTAAAGCCACAACTCTTTCAGTAAGATGTGACCCTCTACGATTAAACATACCCTAAGGTAAACACGCGGCGGGGTAACATGACACGCTAAGCAATAAGAAGTGAGCGGACGTGCCCAATGGGACGATTGATTAAAATTTTTCCTTTGTTTACATGGCATGATTTAAACAAAAGCGCGCGTATGATATAATGGATAATCGAATAAAGAATGTGCTGATAAATTTATAACACGGTCATTAAATAAAAGAAGCCCTTCCATAAAAAATCAAACCAAACTTTTTTAAATTCAGCGCTTCGACGCTCCCCTACAGAGCAACAGAGAACTTCATACCACCCTCACAATGTTTTCGACATTGCCGACCTTAGCACTACGTATAGTGCCTGCCACATATAAACCTGATAAGCTCTGTTTAGAGTAAATGTAGCCAACAGCCTCGGAGCGTAGACTCCGAGGTCTGGGATCCGAATCTTTGGGACACCTAAGATCTTTTAGCGTTTATCCCACGCTCGTGAAAATAAAAAACACATCTTTGTGAATACAAAATCAAGAGATAATTAACTTAATCCATTCAAGATATAATATCGTGGTGACAAGTTACAACTTTCCACCTGAAGAAGTATAATATCAATTTAATGCAAGTCAAAATCATTTTAACTTCAAACTATAGTTATGTAGAGAATGATTACCAATTACTTTCCCAGTCTTTTTAGCTGCGATTTTCACTTTTCCCCACCAAAAGGAACGTGTAGTAACAACCTTACTTTTGCATTGTTAGTTGCAAGTTGTTGGATGATCTTTTCAAGATAAAGGAAAACCACTTCGCAACATCTTTTGGTGTTTTATAAGGGAGCCTGTTACACTGTGCTTCAATTGAAATTCATGATAAATAGGAAGCTTGTGCTTTCAGAAGGATACACAACTGCTGTAGAACCTTTGGTATGAGTTTCTCAATCGTTATTCACTTTCAAAGGCACTTTGAATAAAACAACATCCGGTTTCCAGCTTCCGGCTTCCGGTCCTATTCAATGGCTTCTTTCGGCTCTAAATCTTTTTTTTTTTTTTTTTTTTTTTTACTGTTCAAAAGGATTCCAGTTAATACTTGGAAAAAGTTCATTTTCTTTTCTTTTTCCTGAGAATGTCCCTTTCGATGCTCGAAGATAACCCGGTCAGGACACTCTCAGGACTAAGGACATTGCGGTGTTGAAAAGCGCCTTGAGGTGAAAATTATAACCAGCTTTTCTAGGCGATACCCATCAGTCAAAAAACACACACACACACACACACACACACACACACTCAGTATAAAACATGGGGGAAAGTTCAGTGTTGTTTATTACTTTACACTTCTGCTACCAGAAGGTGAAGATCACGACCTCACTTTGAGTATTTACTACAGCGAGATTAACTCAAACTAAATACGACTGCATTTCCTGCAGGACCTTAAGAGCTAAGAGCTTTGAATTAAAACCCACAACCAAGAAAGGCCGACTAAACTTGTTTTGAAAGCTGTTTTTTTTTTTTTCTTTCCCTCTCTTTTTTGTTAACTCTAATCTATAAGCTACTGCGTGACGGAACAGAACGTTCTCGGCTGTCACGCCTGATATGATTGCAACCGGAAGATGCCGAAAGGAGGTAAACAAATTTTTATACGATTGATACAACTTCCCTTGCAGCATTAGTCATGCTTAAATAAAGCTTCCAGGTGCAGCTATCATCATGAGTAGGACCCATGTAAAGCTGAAAGTCCTCCAGTTTTCCGTTTCATTTCCAAGTGAAAGTGGTCGAAGAAGGACGCCCTACTGACTGTTGACTCCCACGTAAAATGGCGTCCCAAACAGCAGGTAGATTTTTTTTTTATTTCTTGATTTCTTACTTCCAAAACAAGTTATCGAGTCCGGGCTGTGGGTTACTTATGTTTATAATTTTTTAGCTATGTCGATGAATTATTTAAGAATTTCCTCGTTAGCTTGTCTTAGTCGAGAGAGAGAATATAAATAGTAAATTATTGACTCAACAATCATAGCACTGAGTACAACGCCTGGTGGGCGGTGAGTTGTCTAAAATTAGTATTTTGTAGACCGATTACCTAAGAACAGCAAGTGAAATGACATCCTCCACATGGAGAGAGACTCTTTCGATGCTAACAAAGTCACTATAAACGATAAATGAGAAAAAAAAATTGAAACAGCTTTCCCTCTAACGTTGGGTGGGCACTCATGGCTGGTTGATATAATATCATCATAATAATAACAAATATTGGAAAACAAAATCAAAAGAATATTTTCTCAAAAATTTGAACTAACAGACAGAGAGCTGTTGCTTCCAAATGGTGCTATCTTCTCGTTTCGTTGTTTAAATTTCAGTCGAAATTTTGAGACACCGAGCTGTGTCTCGAGTTAAGCGACAAAACAGTTCTTTATCGTTTGTATAATTCGCTTGTTGAGTTATATTATTCACCATACACACTAATTTTTTGCTTGAGTTGTAAACAGATAATTAAGAGGTTAGCGCCTTTTATTTGAGGATCACACTAACACAAGACAAAATAAACCTTCAATTATGTAGAGCACCAACCAAACCTACCGAGCGGAAGCAAGAGCGAGCTCAGCCAACATTTCTATAGTTTCAATTCAAATTTACAACTGTTTTATTGTTCATTTTAAAAGTAAATTACAATAATGACCAAAGATCTAATGACCAATTTCTCAGAACTGAGTGTTCACAGATGCAAATCTACATTTTAGACCAAGGATTCTACCCTCGTAAGACTCACGAACTCATTGTAATAGGACAAAATTGTTAGTTTGGCCATGGAGCTCCACCATTCTTTAATGAACTTTCTTCGCTGTCCTCAGGTGTGATCAATGGCTAATGAAAGTATATTATTCTGAAGAACTGTGGCGTTTTATCAAATTAAAGTTGCACTCATCATAGAGAAAAAAAGAAAAAAAGATTTTATCAGTCTTGTGCACGGGTACCTCAAAGATAAGCCCCTGGAGAATGAAATCAATAGAGATGACAACTCATCCTGCTGAAGGAAACCAAAAGCATGACTCATGCGAGGAACTCTTGTTGCAGTTTAAATAGTGATTGTGCAGCTCTCGTAAGAAATAAGATTGAGATATTTTGGTAGAGTTGAGAAGCATTATGTTTTGTTTCATCGGTAATCCCTGTTTTTTTTTTTTTTTTTTTTTTTTTTTTTTTTTTTTTTTGAGGTTAAATCCTGCCGGCAATAAACAAAAGTATTACTGTGGTAACAGTAATAGTTAAGTTTTGAAAAGCATCCATATCAAGTTCGTTTCATTATCTTTGGTATCGTGGTTTAGTTTCAGTATCTTATGAAATATTCAAAGCGTAAAAGAAGGTGTTCACGAAGAGCTATATCCTCTCCCGATGAGGAACAGGTGTAGCTGGAGGAAATGAAGTCTCTAGAAAGAACAACATTTTCAATACGAGCAAATCTAAATAAGCTTACAGTTTCTTTGTGAGATTTAACACGTTTGTGACGGCATAGAATGAGATAACTTTCCTTAAAGTTAACAACAGAAAGTGTTTGGTGCAAGGCAAGCTATTTTGAGTTGAACATGCAAATTTTGTGGTTTTTGATCGAAGAGAACTGAGTTGTTTATTGTGGAGAAGTGTGTTCAGCATAATGATCGTTTGTCTCCAGTAATGAAGACCTGCCGTGAAGGTAATGATGATGATGATAATAGCGTTACAAACGAATAAAAGGCAAATTTGTTTTGCAGCAATATTATGATCATTTTCAGTTTTCTCACTGACATTTACACTATGTTCTTATGAGCTCGCCATTATCACTCAATGATCTGTAGAAATCTACTTCGTCTAAAATACATGCTTCTCTCATTGAGTCAAATAAATTTTGTAGAGAAAGTTGGAAGTTGGGCTCATCGACGCAAGCTTAACGAAACATTTGTTGTATGTATTTAATTTTGGATCTCTTCAACAGGTGTAAAACTGCATAAGTTGTCATCTTTAGTCATTGTCGATCTTTCTTTCAAGCAGATGGCTCTTAACTGTATGTTCAGGGCTTTAAGAGGAGGCTTCTAAGCAGTTGAATAGTTAGGAAACTAGTACCCTCTTAAACCTAAGAACTAAAAATGGGGTTCAGGTTTAGTTTGAAAGGACTTTGAGCTGTACTTCGCGAAATTTCGAAACAGATGGGATCTTACTGACTCCATCTTTAACGTGGAGGACTGAAGGACCGAGTTTTAATCTTTCACAATTATCTACTAAAGCTTCATTATAGGGATATATGGTGCGATAGCAGAAAGGGGTGTAGTTTCTTTCTACTTTAGAACGTATTCAACTCAGTTTTAGTGTCCATTTGAAACATAAAAGCTTTCAAAAGGTGCAGCGTTAGAATTCAAAAAGCGACAACATGTATGATATTAAAATAACTCTTTCTTTCTCTTCTCTATATTTTAACAAACCAATGCTATGAAAGTACAGGGTAAAGAGACAGATCTAGAAATCGAGGTGACAGACGAATCAAACAACGGAGGCAAACACTCACAAGTCAAAAAACATCGTCGCAAGAACGTCATCCACCTGTGGGAATTTTTGTTGGAGCTTCTCGCCAACGACAATTTGTGTACCATAATCTGCTGGAGCAGGAGAGAGTTGAACGAGTTTCAGCTCAAAAGACCCGAAGAAGTGGCAAGAAGATGGGGTCTGCTACGAAAACGGAAAGGAATGAATTAT